ACAAATAGACAGTTTTAATTTACCAAAGGATGTATTAGGTCATCAAGAAATTAATGTCACTTTTTTTTAGATGAAAAAACCCAAACAACTTGTATATCAAAACGTTTATTAAATGAAATAGTCTTCTTTGTTATTGATGGTACTTTTCCATCTTACAATTAGGATGTTAATGCCCTGATTAAAGAAATCACTTGGCTTTGAAGCAAAAAAACATGTCGATGTCCTCTTTAACATCTTCTACATTTGTATACATTCTCCCATTAAGATGGTGTTGCAGTAAATGAAAAAAGATGGTAATCTGATGGTGCCATATCTGGAGAATATGGTTGGTAGGGGAGAACTTCCCAACCCAACTTGATAATCTTGTGTTGCTACAAACGTGCGACATGTGGACGTACATTGTTGTGGAGAAGAACACCTTTCTAATTGATGTGTGAAGGGCTTGATTTAAATGTTCCAGTTGTTGACTATAGATCTCTGCATTGACAGTTCACTGTGGATTGAGGAGTTTGAAATGAATTACTCCTCTGATGTCCCACCAAATGCAAAGCATCACTTTCTATGGATGGAGTCCAGGTTTTGGGGTCAGAAGTGGTTTTTGTCTAGGACTTAGCCATTGTTTTTGGCATTGAATTTTTGCATAGAGAATCCATTTTTCATCACCGGTGACAATTCTGTCCAAAAATGGCTCACGTGCATTATGCATCAGAAGAGATGAAGCAACATTCACATGTTGGAAACGATGATCATTAGAGAGTTCGTGAGGCACCCAAACACCTTCTTTATGGAGTTTTCCCATATTTCTTAGATGTTTACATATTGTTTCATGAGAGATATGCAATTTCAGGGCAATTTCACGAGTGTGTTGTCTTGGGTTAGACTCAATAAGTATCTTCAGAGCATCAATATCAATTCCAGCATGTTGGCTCCTGCCATCACAGTTTTTAAGGCTAAAGTCACCTGAAAGAAATTTGCTGAACCATCATTGACAAATATGAACATTAAAAAATGTCCATAAACTTCTTTGATATTCTTTGTGGCTAAAGAGGCATTGTTTCCCTTCTTGTATTCAAACAGCATTATATGCTGAATGTGTGTCTGTTTGTTTGCTATCAGTATAAGGGATTAGAGTATACTAAACTTTGCACATTATATAGGCTACACTAATGTGATGTGTAGATGGTTCATTTAACTATTATATGTGATGTATATTTTTGGGGGATGGTTAATGAAAGTGTTCCAAAATGTGACATTAATTTCTTGACGACTTAATATAATGCTAGAATGTTCTCAGTACAAAGTTTCAGTTATTTTGCTTGACAGATAGAAAGTTGTTTTCATCGAGTTCAGATCAAGTAGCTAACGGAATTATTTTAAGGCACTTATACCTTGTTGATAAAGCCATTTAAATCATATAAGTTATATGACTATGTTTGCTTTGTATATGTTATTATTCTGTGTTCTTCAAATAAAGAAAAAATGTTCAATGCTAGTACCATCATTACAAAAAAAGTAGGTTTAAATTTTATCAGTGGGCCAGCAGCAAAACAACAAGGCCAAATGTAAATATTAAGTTTCTTGTTTTTTTATGTTTATTTTTTATTGTTAGAAAAATAAATAAGATGTAAAAAATCAGAAACTTATTAGCTTAGATTAGGTAAGATAATGAAAAATAAACTTTCTTCACTAGGTATGCCCATGAGTAACTCATGCATTAGATCATTCAATATAGTAACTTGAGTTAAGCATTCACCAAATGATTTACAGCTTGTATCATGGGATTATTAGTTAGGTACTGTTCAAAGAGCAATAAAACAATTAAATTAAGTAGAAACAGATGTATACTTTTATTACATTATTTACATTAAATTATTTTTTCACAGTTCAAGTAGGAGTTCAGCCAGAGAGCAGTCTAGTTTTAGCAAGATTGGTAAGGTATTTTGATTTAAATTAGACTTCTAACTTGTCTGTTCCTTGTTTTGTATATATATACTCAGCGTGGTCACAAGTAAATAGACACCACCTTTTCAGAAAAAATGAGATTTTTCAGTCATATTCACATGAATTGATATATTTATAATTTAATTAATATCTAGTAGATCTTCCTTTCGCTTCATGGAGTTCGTTGATCCTTTGGGGATCGTGAGAATCATCTCATCAATTTTAGATTGTGGGATTTTCGCCCACTCTTGCTTCAAAACTTGGAGTAGATCGCTCTTTGAAGTTGGTTTTTTTGGTTGTTTCTTGACTTGCCAGTCGAGTATGGCCCAGAGGTTTTTGATGAGGTTCATATCAGGAGATTGGCTCAGCCAGGGCAACTTCTGGATACCATTTTCTTCCTGCCACTTTTGGGTGTTTCTAGCAGTGTGATACGGTGTTCCATCTTCCTGGAACAACGTTGTGTTCTTGTCCACGAAACCCGAGGAATAAAGTGGCAAGAGTCCTTCCTCCAATATTTCGACGTATTTCGCAAAATTTATGTTGCTAACGCACTCCACTAAGCTCGATCTCCCACCAACCTAAACAGCTCTCCAAACCATTACGCTGAAACCACCATGTTTGACAGTTGGCTGCAATCTGTTGAGCCAAAACTCTTGGTGAGGCATTCTCCAGACCCATATCCTTCCACTGTCCGAAAATTGTCCGAATCTTGATTCGTCTGAGAACAATACAGTCTTCCAAAAGTCCAGAGGCTTGGTCATCATATCACTTGCCCACTTCTTTCGTCTGACAATGTTGGCAGGTCTTAATAAGGGCTTCCGTCTAGCTGCTCTGCAACGATAACCCAATCTGTGGAGAATCCGTTGAACAGATTTCGGGCTCATCCCAACAACTTTGACTACTTCTGCAATCGTTAATCTGGGATCCATTTCAATGCTCCTCTTGACAGCCCTTTTTTGTCCTCTCCGATGGACCAGGACAACCTGGACGCTGCTCAGTTGTTTCCTTGCCATGTTTCCTGAACTGCACGATGATTCTGTTGACTGTCGAAAGCGGGATTCCCAAATTCTGCGAAATTTGCCGCTGACTTATTCCACCATCTGCTGGACCAACTATCATTCCTCTAACAAAATCTGACAATTTGAGAGAACTTTGAGTTCTAGGCATGTTGTGAACACAAATTAGTTAGCATAAATCAGTTAAATGAGAAAAAATTAGGTGTCTATTTACTTATGACCACTCAGTGTACATCAGTAATTTAAAATATCCAAGAAATGCTCTTAAAATACAATTT